GCCATGAGCAGGGACACCTCCCTGATGATGATGAGAAATGGAGCTTAAGACATTATCTTTCATTCCAGCACAGAATGCTGGAACTTGGTAATTAGTTATAAAATAATAAGGACTTTATCCTTCAATTAATTTTTCCCCCCCCATTTCATCACTCAGGAAATAATTTGGTCTTCTCTGATGTAGTCAAATGGAAATGAAAAAGTAACAGAAACGTAACTTTTCAGCAGTGTTAGGGAGGGAGGGGAAAGAACAGGCTATCAGAAAGGAAGGCCACTTTGGGAAATCCATATCTGCTTTTCTGGAGAGTTTTTTTACCAGACAGCAAGAAATTTTATTTATTTTTGTTGCTTTGTCTGCAAGTTTCTTCCACTTCCAATTTCCCCTTTCAGATGCAATTAAAAAAAGTCCAGTATTCAACAGACAGCAAACTAATTGCATGATAATGATGTTTTAAATGCCCAGATTAACTTTAATGACTTTAAATGGAATTTTAATGAGTTATTCTGAGTATAACTAATTATTTGCTATTTATACACATAGACATGAACAGAGTATTTTTGGTTAAATGAAACTTTATCATAACTCCAAGCTGCATTCTTTGCACAGAGCTATACCATACATCTAGATACGTTCACATGAACTTGATAAGCCTGTCTATTGGCATGGTTTGAAACAGGGGATCCATATTCAAGTCCATGCCCTGCATGCCTCCAGGTAATGGAGGATAAACTGCTCTGAATAAAGAAGAACAGAGATTTAAATCTAGACCTCCCACATTTTAGTGCCTGATACACATACTGGTGATAGTCACACAGATAACTCCCAAAATCAGAAGCTGAAATTCTGACTTGGACAACCCAATTTCAGGAAAATGCCCAACACATTTCATACTGTTCTAGCATAAAAGAAACTTGAAACATCAGGAGTTCCTTAAAAATAGGTGTAGAAAGCATAGATTTGCACTACAATTTCAATTAGATTTGCATTACACTTGCAAATGTACACTGTGAAAACCAAACCTTTTGTCTTCTGCAGGAAGGAGGTAAGGAAGGCAGACTCCTAAATGATTTAGCCTCTTAGTCAATTGACAAGGTGAAGACAGGTTTCTTTTGCTTTTGACGTAGATTTTGTTTTTTAAAATACAAGCAATGTTTCTTTTACAACTCTTAATTCCAACATATGCAACTCCTAGGTTATGAAGACTGAGGGAAGAGAATACTACCTATAAAATTTACAAAGGATTGAGAGGAGGAGGAGAAGAGAGTGTTATAAGTTGTCTTACAAGCCTGAGATGGAGTTGAACAACATTTAATGTCTTGAAAAATTGGCTTCCTTCACGAGTCCTTAAAACCAATGCTGATATGTGCTATGACATGGCATAAACTTGGACATAACTACTTGGACACTTGAGTTTGTGCTTGAGCTTTTGGACCTCTTCCAGACTGTCAAATGAACTTCATCCATTTCCATTTCAGCTACTCTAAAGCTACATTTCAACATGTTTTAAATAGGTTGCACAAAACTGCCTTTAACTGTGAGCACGTCACTCAGCTATAACAGAACTTCAGGATATAATACAAAACCAAAATAGAGATAATCACTGAGTTCTTCTCAGTCTTAATTTGTATTTATTCACCCTTATATTGCATTTCTCATTAAAAAGGTGTATCTCATGTTATATGATATCTTCCACCTGAGATGTTCACATACAAACACAAAAAGATCTGAAACCTTATTAAAATATCTATAAGGAAGTGGCTTTTTCCCATTTGTTTCCCACATGATAAAATAAAGGTACTTACATGGCAAAAATAGCCACATTAAGGAAAATTAGTAAAAAGCTAAGTTATTTCTTCATCCAAAAGATGGACACAACAAGCTAAAAATACATCTTTTAGAACTGGATTATCTTAGAGGTTTTCAGGAAGTAGATAGCAACTTCAAGAATCCAGGGCCAGTAAGACACAGAGTGTCTCCAACTAAAAAAGCATTCAGCCTTACCTTTCTGGCAGACATCAACTTCCTTGTATTTTCTAACAACAAAGAAGCCAGAAATGGCATTCAGCCACTGTCCTTCATATCTTCACCTCTTCAAAGCTCTCCACTGTAATTATTTACAAAAATATTTTGGGGAGGTGGGGGGACCATATTGAGAAATGATGTAAGGTATCTTGAGTCAGGTATCTACCATGATGTCTCACTGGTGTCTTACACTCTGCTAAACCCATTGGCCAAGTTCCCTGAAAAATCAGTGTATTGGGTCTGACCAAGGTAAAATAGCTTTTATGTGCTAGCCTTTTCTTCATGGTAAAGCCTCTTGCCACAACATAAAAAACATAATTAAACCAAAAGGAAATCATTCCCCCAAGACTGGGAAACTGAGGACACCAAAATAGAGTTTTTATGAGTTAGCTCACTGGCACAGCAGAACCCAAATATTGTAAGGTCATGGAGCAGAAACTTCTGGAAACTATGCTGAGGCACATGGGAAGTAAGGAGGTGATTGGTTACAGTCAACATGGCCACACCAAGGGCAAGAAAACTAAAACAAAAAATTTCTCATACCTCTAGGCAGCTAACAGGAAAGCAAAACAATTTTAAGAGTCAACTTAAATAGGATCTTTATGGTAAAAAGTCAGCAGAACTCCTCCAAGCAGCAGTATGTGCTATTACATTGCTGTGTCATACTTCTCAGATGTCAAAGATAATTTTACCCTCAAAAGTTCACTGGACAATTGTGTGTACAGAATTTTTTTTTTCTTTAGATAATTAGAAGGCTGTAAAGCACTATTGCCTTTGCCTGACTGACAAGTTCATGATCTGCACTTCTCACACATCAAGACAAGCTAAAGAGAATTGAAACTAGCAGAGGACTTGAAATGCCCATCATCATCATTAAGGGTTTTGTTTCCAAATAAGTATAGAAATTCAAGTTTTGAGGAGTTTGGCACAGAGTGATGCATTTGTCATTTAAGGAGACCATAATCCTCTTGTGAGTGATGTTGTGTGACACACAGCAACACTGCATGTCTAAATGATAAACCACCAGCTCTTCACTGAACTAATTCACAGTTATTGACACCTTTGTAAGCTTCAATCATTTCATATTTCCAGGAGAAAAGGAAACAGAAAATGGGTGTGGCAGAAATAGAGAAAATGTCTGTGTGCATTATGCGCTTCCAAGAAGAAAAGGAAACGTCAGCTGACCATTGGGAGTACAACCCAAGTGTGCTACTTCACCCTCAGCTCCAATGGGCCCAATGGGATTCATCCCAGGGTACTGAAGGAGCTGGCTGATGCTATTGCAGCACCTCTCTCCTTATTTTTGAAAAGTCTTGGTAGTCCAGAGAGGTTCCAGCTGACTGAAAAGTGGCAAAAGTTCAAAAAGAGTGAGAAGGAAGACCCTGGTAATTACAGGCTTGTCAGTCTCACTTCAGTGCCTGGTAAAATTAGGGAAAATGTTATTCTCTCAATCTTGGGATCTTATTCATCAGTTTTCCAGTACTTCATAGTTGGGATGCATTCCATGTTTGATCAGCAAGCTTGGAGAACATGCCCAATAAAAAGATACGAAGCAATCTGCTCCGGATTCAAGGTTTCTTCCTAATTATCAAAGTTCACAGCTGTCCACAGTCACTCAGAAATTATCATACTCTAGTGCCATTAACCTCAAATTCTACCTCTTGTAGACAATTTCACTTTATAAAATATAACCTTTGAATAGGTTTGTCCCCACATTACATGAAACAAATAAATATGTTTTCTACAATCATAATACAAGGAGAGCATATTTTAAAACAATCTTCCCATGGAATACAGCTAGTGAGCAGAGAAGGACACAGCTAGCCTAAAACCTATGATAACCTAGATCCTCACATATAACCTGTATTTTAATTATAACTGATATATCCTGATATCCCTAGCTGGGTAGCATTCATTTCAGCATTATAATTTAGCTGGGCTGATTATAATGCTGAAACATTCAGAGTGTGGTTTTTTTTATATTGGAAATAGAAAGGCAAAACACAATTTAAGAAAAAGAAGTTATTATTGTTCACAGAAGAGCCTAGCAGCCATCTATGAAATATAAAGCTCAACCTTGATTTGTCCTCAGAATGAGGGAGCTCAAATTGATATCTTATATTTTCCCAAAGAATGTGTTAAGAAGCAAGCTGGAAACTATTCTACAAGATTCAGCAGAAGCTGCATTATTGCAAGGAAAATAATTCAAGACTTCTTGGGCCCAGTAAAAGGATCACATATGACAGAGCAACACAGCATCTCATTAATGATTCTTACATTTGTTAGTGGTAGATTGAAATTTTACTGGAAGCCAAAACAAAAACTCGAGGTATTCTTCATCTCAGACAGATGCTCTATTGAGTGGAATATAGAAATAGCACACATTTTCTTAATGGCATAAATACAATTACATGTGCCTTGAAACCTGCTTTCTACATATTTACTCAAAAGAATAACAGATCCACTAGTTTCTACTGCTCAATTCGTCAAAACTGAGAACGTTTTAATCATACTGGGGAACTTTCAACTACAAAAACAAGCCAAAAATGGACTCCATATGCCAACAGAAAGCACTTGCAAGCATTTTCAGAACTGCAATTTAGACATGTAACTTTGACAAAAATTATGCCTTTAAACACCTGGCCTTTTTGAGAGCATCAATAAAATGCAGGCTTTTCCTCTAAAATACTGAAAATGTAAAAGCAGAAGACAGCCATGAAAAGAGAAAAAGCATAAAATCCAAAATGTTTCAATATGCTACATTCTTCCACCATAATCTTCTGAGCGTGGGTTGGTGTTTTTAAGGGATTGAAGGTCAAATAAGGCCTGCAATGTTCAGCAGAAGCAAAGACAGGATGCCAGGAAACACATTTCTGCCTCCTGTAGTCTTCCTCTCAATACACAATGTTACAAGGAAACAAGCATGGCATTTTTTCATGTTTTTACCCATTAAACACAATCCTCCACTGTAAACTTACCAGATAGAAAGGTGGTACCAAACTGAGATACTCATGTAGATGCTGAAATGTCTCATTTCTCCCTTCCTAATACAATTCCAGGTATGAAATCATTCCACAGTATTTGTTATTATCTCCTGGATAATGGTATTCTTTCTCTGCCTTAATGGTTAATTTTAAGGCTAACTTTTTGGAGCATACAAATTAACCTCACACCTAGCAACAGCAGTACATGAAGTGGAGACTTTTTCTCTACCCCTCACAGTTGGCAGCTCCAATGAATTATAGCCCTGTCTGTGAAACACCTAGTGGAGAATTTTACACCTTGCAAAAATAGCAGCATTTGGCATAAGACCATGACCAGGCCTCCTAGAGAGGCAATGTGATGGGAAGTTAATTTAAAAACTTCCCCAATTAAGTGTTCTTACCTCAGGTAATTAGATAACTGCCTGAGAGTAAACATGTCCAAGAGAGTAATCAAACAATTGGAGTAACAAGGAGACAAGTACTGTCATTGTTAAATGGAAAGTTAATTTAAAATCAGCTGCTCTATCAGCAAAACCTGTTTTAAAATGGTGTGTTGGTACTATTAAATGAAAGACAAATATTTGGCATTAAACATGCTCAAACTGTTCACACTGCACAATAACATTCTTAATAAATAACTGAATAAACCTGAGTCAAGCTCAGTCTGGTGCCTCTGAGAAACTAGAGCCTCATTACCAATATCATTATCTAAAACTAATTAGTAGTTGGTGATTGTAGCCTGCTGGCACTAGGAAGCTGATTAACATTCCTCAGAAACAAACAGGCCTGGATTGGGGGAGGAGAGGGATATTTCCTTTTTGCTTCAGACTCAAAGAGCAGAAAGGGAATTAAATATTTAGTACCTGTGCACATTGCAGCTCAGTTTCTTCCATTAATCTATATAATGGGCTGGTATTTGATGTGCTTGAGGCATTTTCATTGCTTGACATATGTTGAGTTCAGAATTTTTCACCTGGTTGGATGATAGAAATAGAAATCTTGAAGTGCAATTAAATATTTTATTACCATTGTTTAATTAAATAAATGCTGGATTAACTTGTCAAAGCAGATTTCACTGGCATGCTAGAACAGCATTTTCATTTTTCTTTATGAATGTAATCTATGCCTAAATACTGTGATGATTAACATAATTACTTTAAATAGTACTGGCTGCATTCAGGAGAGAGGGATGGACCAGTTACTGAGTATTCCACAGAAAACAGTTCCTTTCATTTCCCTAAGAATTTGCTATGTAACCCTTTTCCTCCTTTTTTAACTGAAGAATGAGTCCACTTAAAAACCCTAAACTGAAGTTTAGGTTAAACTTAAATTCCATAAGAATTTAATTCCATAAGAATTCCAGAAGAAAGCCCTCCAGTGTGTCATAAGTCCAAATATCTAATTTAGTGCACATAGTAAGAGCCAGATCTGCAAGTAAAATTTCAACAATTGAGATACCTGTATTGGAAATTTTTTTTTCTGCTACTATCCAGCCACCTTGTAAACCTGTGTTATAAACAGTTCATGCCCAGTGTAAACCCCTAACACAGCAGAAGCTCAGATGAGCAAGGGGTGAAGTTTCTCTTGTATCTCTGCTGGTTTCTGTGTGGTCAGATACACATACCTGTACGTATTTATGAATATGCACAGACACAGATAAAGTATGGAGAGAAGACAGACCTGTTGACTCTGCTGAAAACAAAGCAGGGTTATTTTTCTATGCTTGCCTTGGTTAATATTCTGAAGCACTACACTGAGAGCTGAGACAAGTCAGTGCTCTACTGACCCCCAGTGAACCAGGTGCTCATCACCATGACCAAAATCCTCGAGGCTGCTTCTTTAGTTTCAATATCTTCTTTTGTCTGGGTGGGAGATTATCCCCTCTAAATTAATGAACTAGCAGAAAGCTAACGTTCATGCCCCCCTAAGTACACAAAAATATACTACATTAGCATTATAAAACACACTAATTTTTGACAGAAAAAGAAAAGTTATATACAGCAACAAGTAATATGAGACAAAGGAAAAGAAGGATGCTATACCTAAAAGTCTTTATTTCTGCCAGACCCTAAATACAAGTAATAGACATTCTGTTTAAAGTAATTTATTAATAAGATTAATTACAACGCTCACGTAATGTGTGCAACATTCAAAATGTGCCTTGGTGTAAAAAAAATACAACTAGCACAAAATGCTTCTACAAAGTAGTGAGCAGTACCAGTAAGACTAAGCTGAACAAATTGAAAACACTGAAGTTTCTTAAGCTTTGGATTTTAATGCAGGTGATCATGAGGCTGTATCAATAATGCTCAGCCTCAGAAGAAATGTTCACTATTCATATATAACAACTGAAACAAATTACAGATTAGGTATTTCTGGTTAGAGTAATAGTTTACTACAAGATTGGTACCTTTTTGTATAAATACATGCCTGAATGCTGAAGAATTGCACAGTTTGAGTGCCTGCATTCCATAATTCTAACCTGGTTTAGGAGGACATCATGTGGCAGAATAATATATGAACAGACACTGCAACTTTCCCACACAAAAACCCCTCCTTCTACAGCTGTAAGATTACATTATTATGCTGTAATCTTACAGCAGTACGATTTTTGACCTTGCAGTCAAAAATATTCAATGTTGTCAAGAGGCTCGGTGAATGCAGAAGCAGTGTCCAAAATCAGATATTTGGATACAAAGGATGATTATTAAGATGATTTGCATTTCTGATACAAAGGTGGGGGTGAATGACTGGACTCAGGGGAGGTTTCCTACGTCACCAAGCCCTAAGGAGTTATTTAAACATTTTGGAAGCACACAGCCCCACTTACAGTATTAAATTTCCCCCTTCCATGCTCTTAGATCAATCTGCCTTTGCCAGAGCCCTACCAAAAGCAGGAATTTGTGCATTTGTGCATATTTGTGCCAAATATGGCTGGAAAGCATCAATAAGGAACTTCAAGGAATATATGAAAGAGCCCCATCCTACTTCATCAGTAAAATCTCTCATGAACACCTCCATGATTACTAGCACTTAAATGAAAAAATAGTGTTCTAGAGAGGTATTTCTGGAATTTGTGTTGCATTTATCTAAAAATGCATTTCATATACCTTGCCAGAGTCTGATAGTAAATTCTTAGAATATCAGATGAAGGTGGAATCTACTTACACATTAATTTTAAAATTTAAAAATAAAGTAAGCGTCTTTAGTCATAACACCAGTCATAAATTATGGAATCAATTCAGAATGTTATGATATCAGTCCATGAAATAAGAACTGAAAGGAAAAAGAACAATAATGGCATGGCTAATGGTGGACATAGAAATTCACTGCTAAAGACAACAGAAGTTGTGAATGAGGAAAGGAAAATCTGAAAAAGAAAATTTTAAGGAGATTTTTATCATTCTTGTTTCTGCCAGAAGACATAGGCTTGGGTCATGCTATTTCCTTTCATAAAAGCTCTCAGATGAGCTCAGTTGGTCAGAGCATGGTGCTAATAACATCAAGATTGTGGATTTGATCCTTGTATGGGTCATCCATCTAAGAGTTGAACTCGATGATCCTTCTGGGTCCCTTCCAGCTCAGAATATTCTGTGATCATAGAAGCATTCTTAAAGTATTTTTTTTCACTGACTTAGAAAAACTATCATAGAGACTGTAACACTACCTTTCAATGTATTCTAAAATCCTCCCTATGGATGAGAAGAATTTTGTAATGCTGATTTTAAATACACAACTGAGATGTCCTGAAATATTTCTATTTACAAAGCTTTTGGAATCAGTCTCAGTCTGTTCATACTCAGATAATCCAGGCATTTCTTCCCTTACTTCAGTATCATTCAGCAACCCTGGATCTTCCACCCTATTCCTACATTCTTCATGTAATATAAACTGACAAATTCTAGACATATTTGAAACAAACCTCCCAAGAAGAGTTCTGACAACACAAGAAACTGCACGACCAAATTTGCAAGCTGGGTGACACTTCCAAGCCCAGATCAATTAGCCATGAAGGCTGAGCAAAATAATTGTGTTTCTAATCAGTGGGGTCCCAGAGCAGCATTCTGGCAGGAACAACTGGAAAGAAACACCTACACACCATATTTTTATGTGTATATCTTGGGGGGAAAAAGGCTTTGTTAGCAGCAGTCAGGAGAGCAGAGGTCTTTCAAGTTCTTCAACAGCAGATTTTAAACAATGTAGGATATCTCAGAGCACGTAAGGTGCGTGACAAAGCAGTTTCAAGACTAAGTTTGGATGTTTTTAAAGGGAGTTTATAAGATGTGATGAATGCTGCAGCAGAGAGGTGGGTTCTGTGATCCAATGAGTCACTTCCAATCACACTTTCCTGTTCTGCAGGCAGAGTTTGGGAAAGTACAGGGAAAATAACAGTAGCAACTTACCAACTTAGACCACAGCTGTTCACTGCCTTGGTCAGAATCAAGCTCAAGTACAAAATGAAATAACCTGCTTTTCAGGTTATCCTGACAGAAGAAGGGAAAACTGCATAGTTAAAATCACACTGTATAAAATGGGACATAGGATCACTAAGTCTGCTGGTGGCTACATTAAGTAAAACTCATTACTGAATAAAAGCATGAAATTAGCTTTATCTGCTCTCATCAAACCTGCTGTGGAGAAGTCAACAGTATAAAGTAATTCTCTCATTCTTGCTTACTTCCTGCTTTAGCTGCTTTTGTTTATTCCTAGGCAAATACATCAATAGGTAGAATACTTTTAAGAAAGGAAAAAAACAGCGTCAATGAAATCACACTGGTGTTGCAGAGGAGATTTTTATTTAAACAACAGATCCCTCCACATCTATTGAAGTGAAGAAGCAGAAGGATTACAGAGCCTGTGCCACCAGAGCATTATTTTATCTTGGTGAAAGGGGAAAGGGAAAAAGAAGAGTATTTACAAGTGAGCATACTGTTCTTAGAACCCTGAAGGAACATTTCCCAAGGTCTATCTAACAAATACTCCCTGTGAGGGACAGAAATCTCTGCGTGCCAGAGAGGGAGCTTGCACAATGGGATTTCAGTCTCACCTGCCCCCATCAGTCCTGTCTGGAACAGCCAGCAGGATAAAATGAAAAAAGGAGGAATGCAAATTTCTTCAGTCTGTGCTCAGACAACAAGGAAAACGTTCTTATCAGCCAGTATCCAAAATAACCCAAGGTCAGGTTTCCAGGAACCTGGCTGCAGAGGGCATGCACTTGAGCATACAGCCCTCTGCTATTCTCATATCTCCTGCTTCCCTCCAGGCTCCTGATTTACATCTCCCACCTGCTGGGTAAATCATACACTCCCCAGAAGTAAGATTTGTCTCGTGGATTGCTGTTTTCAACATCAGTATTGTTCAAGTTCCAAACCTCAGGTGGCTGTTCCAGTTGCCTGGGACAGGACTGTGCAGTCTCGCTTGGCAGGTGTTTTGAAAGGATTTTGCATCTCATCCTTTCAGCAGTGGGGTGAAAAATTTCTTGAGCATCTGGGATGACATGTATTTGGGGTTTTACACTTAGCCAAAAAGATATTTATCCAACAGACGGAAACATGACAAACTGGAGTTTGCCTCTAAAGTAAGCATGTCTTCTGAAAAATCT